ACTGATATACTGCACCAGTTGTGACTTATGAGTGTCAAATTCTCCTTCTACTTGGGATGCAACGAGTTGAGAATCAGTGTAGATAATCATGTTTCGTGCTTCACAGTTGATGACAAGCTTTAATCTGACGATAAGTGCTTCATATTCAGCAACATTATTGGTGGCTGGAAATTTCAAACGAAGTTTGTACTCTAAAATGTCTTTCTTTGGGGAGATAAGTATTATTCCTGCACCAGCTCCCGAGTTTTCAGATGCTCCGTCTACATATAGTGTCCACTAAGGTGGCTGTGGAAGAGAAGATGGTGGTTCATCAGCGGTAGGCACTGTACATTCTACCACAAAGTTGGCCAACATCTGTGATTTGATGTTTGGTCGCGGTAAATAGTGGATGTCAAATTCTCTCAATTCTACTGACCATTTAACTAATCTTCCTGATGCTTTTGGTTTTTGTAGGATAGCATTCAAAGGGAGTTGCGTGTAAATGTCAATAGTGTGAGTCTGGAAGTATGAACGAAGTCTCCTTGTTGAGAATACCATGGCTAGTGCAGTCTTGTCTGCCACCAGATAGGGACTTTCTGTATCAGATAGAATTTTACTGACGTAATATACTGATTTCTCGATTGTGTTTTCTATTCTGACTAGGACAGAACTTATTGCATGAGGTGAAATAACCAAATAGATAAATAACATTTTCCCATGGATGAGTTTTGAGAGAAGGGGCAGTGAAGCCAAATATGCCTTAAGTTGTTCGAAAGCGATCTGACAGTCATATGTCCGTTGAAAACCAGTGTTTTGTGCTCCTCTTAGTATTTTGAAGAACGACAAATACTTATCTCCATAACGAGCAACAGAGATAGGGCGGCTATACGACCATTCAATCGTTGCACTTCCTTGATGTTCCTTGGAGGCACCATCTCTTTCATTGCCTTGATTTTTTCTGGGTTTGCTTCTTTGCTTTAATCCCACATGGGCAGCCATAAATCCCAGAAACTTTACTGATGTGTTTGGTTAAGTCGTAAGTCGTAAGTCATACTGACGAAGGAGTTTGAAACACTCCTCCAGATGAAAAATGTGTTTGGATGCTTTCAAGTTTTTTACTAACATGTCATCGACATAAACTTCCATTGTACGCCCGAGAAGGGTTTTGAAGACCTTGTTCATGAGTCGTTGATAAGTTGCACCAGCATTTTTTAACCCGAATGACATAACCTGATAACAGTATAAGCCCTTATCTGTTTGAAAAGAGACGGCCTCCTCGTCCATTGGGTTCATCTTTATTTTATTGTATCCTGAGTATGCATCCATAAAGCTTAACATTTGATGTCCAGACGTGGCATCAACGAGTTGATCTATGCGCTGGAGGGGAAAACTATCCTTCGGGCAAGCTTTGTTGAGGTCTGTATAGATTTTTTCACCATGACAATACTGGCTAGCCATGCAGGATGATGTACTTCTCATATGAACTTTGCTTCAAGAAGCTTGTTGACTTCTTGTTCAATAACTTGTAAGTGATTAAGGGCAAAATTACGCTTCTTCTGGATGACCGGTTTAAAGGTCGGGTTTACCTTTAAAGAGTGCATGATTATTTATGGGTCAACTTCGGACATGTCGGTCGGAGTCCATGCAAAAAATGCCTTGGTTCTTTTGGAGAAGATATATATACTCCGACCTTTTCTCATCGAAGAGTAGGGAACCAAGCTACACTTTTCTCGAGTGATATCGGTCAGAGAGTGGGATTTGAACCAAGTCTTCTACGGGAGAAGTCCGTTGAGATACATATTCATCTCGAAGATTGAAGTTTTCAATGTTGTGTCATTGACGGGCGTGGTTGAGCTTGTATGAGGTAGCATAATTGTGCTATCTGTTGATCACCTCGTACGATGCTGATCTCTGTTGGGGTTGGAAACTTGATCTTCAAGCGTGTTACTGAAGTCACGACGCCAAAAATTGATTGCAGTGGTCTCCCAAATATAGCATTATACGTTGATTCTGATTTGACAACAATAAAATGAACTGAGTGAGTTATCTGTCGAGGAAAATATTCCAAGACAACTTGAAGATTTATTGTTCCCTTGACCCTCACTGGTCGATTATCAAAACCATATAATGGTCCGGATGCAGGTTGAAGTAGCTCCCTTGTCAATCCCAAACTGAGGAAAGTTGAATAGAACAATT